ACTCCGGAACCTTCTAGAACCTTCCCGGTACAATACCAAAAAAACCTGAACATTTTCCGGTGGCCAAAATAGGACTTCCCATATATAAATCTTTACCTCCGGACCATTCCGGAACTCCTCGTGACGTCCGGGATCTCATCCGGGACTCCGAACAACATTCGGTAACCACATACAAACTTCCTTTATAACCCTAGCGTCATCGAACCTTAAGTGTGTAGACCCTACGGGTTCGGGAGACATGCAGACATGACCGAGACGTTCTCCGGTCAATAACCAACAGCGGGATCTGGATACCCATGATGGCTCCCACATGTTCCACGATGATCTCATCGGATGAACCACGATGTCAAGGACTTAATCAATCCAGTATTCAATTCCCTTTGTCTATCGGTATGTTACTTGCCCGAGATTCGATCGTCGGTATCCAATACCTTGTTCAATCTCGTTACCGGGAAGTCACTTTACTCGTTCCGTAACACATCATCCCGTGATCAACTCCTTGGTCACATTGCGCATATGATGATGTCCTACCGAGTGGGCCCAGAGATACCTCTCCGTTTACACGGAGTGACAAATCCCAGTCTCGATCCGCATAAAACAATAGATACTTTCGGAGATACCTGTAGTGCACCTTTATAGTCACCCAGTTACGTTGTGACGTTTGATACACCCAAAGCACTCCTACGGTATCCAGGAGTTACACGCTCTCATGGTCAAAGGAAGAGATACTTGACATTGGCAAAGCTCTAGCAAATGAACTACACGATCTTTTGTGCTAGTCCTAGGATTGGGTCTTGTCCATCACATCATTCTCCTAATGATGTGATCCCGTTATCAACGACATCCAATGTCCATAGCCAGGAAACCATGACTATCTGTTGATCACAACGAGCTAGTCAACTAGAGGCTCACTAGGGACATATTGTGGTCTATGTATTCACACGTGTATTACGATTTCCGGATAATACAGTTATAGCATGAATAAAAGACAATTATCATGAACAAGGAAATATAATAATAATACTTTTATTATTGCCTCTAGGGCATATTTCCAACAGTTCCTTCGTGCCATAAAAATTTAACATTTTACTACTTGGCTGCTCGGATGTGTGGACCAAAGTTGGCTACACAAACTGTTGAAGTGATGCCAAATAATTTTCTAATGGCACCATTGATGATATGGCAACATTTTTAGATACTAGGTACAAACTGTGACACTGTCTTAGGATGCGTTTGGTTGAAGGTGTGGTATGAATGGCTTGGGATCGTGAAAGTGTCTAAATCACATCTAACAAATGATTTGTAACAAAGAAAGAGTGTCTAACCTTCTCTGCACATACCAGAAACTTCCTCCCACTGTCCACAGATTCAAACGCAACTAGCTTCACGCATGGAGATTGATGGTGACAACGAGCAGACAGATCTTTAGCCACCCCGCTCCATTTGTTGCAGCTGATGGTCCTAGGGAGCTACAAAAGGAAGAAATGACTCAAATCGACCGTTGGGTTAAAATCCTTCATTCCAAGTCATAGCCCGAGAAAGAGAAGAGAGGCATACCCGGGTGGCGAAGGAGTCGTCGTCGGAGGAGGAACCGCTGGAGAGGTCATTGAAGAAGACCATGGCGACACCGGCGGTAGGATGCGAGACGGCGAGAGAGAGGAAGCAAGCGAGAAAGCGGCTATAGCTTAAGAAGGAAGGAATGAGGAAACAGGGGAAATGTGATTTGTGGTCGGGGAGAAAAGGGGGTGGGGAAGGGGGGATGGGGCGGGGGTAGATATTTTGGCGGTAGGCCAAAAATTTGAAAATGTGGAAGGAAACGTTGCACTCGGTGCCGCCGGACACCATTCACTTTCGACGATTGTGTGCATCGCAAACGATTCTTTTGCTTTACGCGCATGGGATAAGTTTGATAATTCAAATTTTGGTGGAAATTTCCCCGGGTACATCACTGCATAATTTAACATCGCTTGCTAATTTGGGCACACAAAAGAGCGTATAGCACATAGAGCACACTTACTGAATCGAGCAATTTTAGTAACTAAACAGAGCCAGTTGACCTAAACATTGCTCTGACAAAAGACCAGCATTAAAAACAAAGCCTAAATACGCATAATTTTAACAAATCTGCCGCCGCACCGGCCTATGCATCACCGGTGTGAGATAAGACGTCGATGACTTGTCCTGGCGAAATGCCGCCGTTGGTGGACTCCACGTCCCCCTGCTGAAGTTGACCGCATCCTCGTCCTCGTACTTGGCGCCGTCCTCAAGGTTGTAGTACTCGTAGTAGTGGTTGCGCTAGAGCTCGCGTTGGTACTCCACCGCCGATTCCTTGATGGACAGACTCTTCTCTACCTCGACCTCGGCCACGCGCAACTCCTCCTCCCAGCACTCCTCGATCTCCGCTGCCTCCTACATCTCGAGCTCCCGCTCGGCGATCTCATGAGGAAGCAGGTGCTCCATGGCCACTGCCGCCTTTTCGTATGTGGGTTGCATGCTGGATTCTGAGGTGGCCTGGAATATCTTGGCATGTGCGTCCTTGATCTTGGCGTGGATGGCCTCTACCCGGGCCAGGGCGACATTGGCGGCATGGACGACAGCTCGAGCGCTCTCGGCGTTTGCAGCCGTCGTCGTCGCAGCAGCTGTAGCCATCTCGGCTGCTGCAGCTGCCCTGTCAGCTGCCGCAGACGCCCTCTCGGTGGATGCGTCCGCACTCAATGCGGATGGAGCGGCACTCGGCGTAGGCGGACGCGCTCTCGGCACAGGCGGCGACGCTCAGGGAGGATGCGACATCGTATGGGCCTTCACGAAGCGTTTCCACGGTGTCATCTTTGCAAGAAGTGGGTGCGGGAATGGGGATCAGGATTCGTGGATTCGGGGATTGCCGGCACTTGAGCAGACGAGCCAGCGAAGCTTAAGGAGGAAGACTTAAATAGACCCAGAAATTTTCATCGCAAACTATTCCTACAAACAAATTGTGTGTGATGTTGTGGATATTTTTTATTAGCTGTGAAAGACGAATTTGGAGTAAAGTGGCAACGAATTGTGTTTTAAATGTACGAGAAAAATTGTAGTACGAATACAACTGTCATGTCAAATTTTGAAAAATTTCAGGGGTCATTTGATCTTTTAAGACATTTAAGTGATTTTCTAGCCATTTAATGACCATAGTTCAAATTTGAACTGCATCTACATGCAACAACTAACCATAACAGTTTGAAAAGTCATATTTTGTGTACTTGTGTGCGATTTAATTCCATGTGCAGTAATTGGAAGGAATTTTCAAACATATTGGTCTAACGGCTATGACACAATTAAACATGGAGTGCCATGGCATTTAAATTCCAAAAAATTAAAAAAAGATGAGAAACACATGAAAGCTTGCTTGATGTAATGTCATGCCACCAAGATGATGTGATAAAAAATTTGGTATATTTGGTAAAAGTTTGGACACACACCCCTCACAAACCGAAGCAACTCACTAGAAGGCTCGTGTTTCCGAGAGAGAATAATCCATGTTTGATGACAAACGGGGGATAGCTTCCCCTTACGGCCTTCAAATTTTTTCTACATTTAACATGCACTAATACAACTGTCATTTGAAAATTTGGAAAATTTCAGGGGTTATTTGAGCTTTTAAAGACATTTACATGATTTTCTAGCCATTTAATGACTGTAATTCAAATTTGAACTATATGTACATGCAACAGCTAACCATAACGGTTTGAAAAATCATATTTGGTGTACTTGTGTGCGATTTAATTCAATGTGCAGTAAATTAGAATAAATTTTTAAACATATTGGTCTCAGGCATGGACACATGCATGGAGTGCCATGGCATTTTAATTCCAAAAAATAAAAAATGATCAGAAACACATGAAACCTTGCTTGACGTACTGTCATGCCACCAAGATGATGTGGTAAAAAAATTGTCCTGTTTGATCAAAGTTTGGACGCACACCCCTCACAAACTAGAGTAACTCACTAGAAGGCTCGTGGTTGCGAGAGGGAACAATACACGTTTGATGACGAACGGGAGATAACTTCCTCTTACGGCCTTCAATTTTTTTCTACGTTTAACGTGCACTAATACAATTGTCATGTGAAAATTTGGAAAATTTCAGCGGTCATTTGACCTTTTAAAGACATTTAAGTGATTTTCTAGTCATTTAATGACCGTAATTCAAATTTGAACTACATCTACATGCAACGGCTAACCGGAATGGTTTGAAAAATCATATTTGTATACTTGTGTGCGATTTAATTCCATGTGCAGTAAATTAGAAGGAATTTTCAAATATATTGGTCTCATGGCATGGACACATGCATGGATTGCCATGGCATTTTAATTCCAAAAAAATAAAAAATGATCAGAAACACATGAAACCTTGCTTGATACAATGTCATGCCACCAAGATGATGTGTGTAACACCCCGGGTGTCATGCTACAGTAAACTCATGTTAATGGTGCCATGTCATCATAATTAAAAAGTTCTAATCCTCACGTTGTTCCAAACCGACCTCAAATTCAAATTTCAAATAACAAGTCAAATTCTTATTTCTTCAAACTGTCAAATTAAAATGTTCTAGGGTTTGCAAATATTCACTAAGTATTTAACATGTAGGAACCAACCGTAAATGGATTTTTGAATTGCCCTAGGCATAATTTAATTGGACAAGCAACACTTATTATGCCCATTTAAATATAAACCTATTTTCAAACATTTCCAAATAACCTCAAACTTTTTGGACAACACCAAAAATATCAGCAGGTAATTATGTGGGAATTTTAGACTGTAACTAAAATCATTTAATATCTAAACTAAATACAAAACAATAGCTATAAAAGAAAATAGTAAACAAAATGTAAAATATAAAAAAACTAAGCTACCGGGCACTTGGCCCATCTGGCAAAATGGGCAGTGCAGCCCAGCCCAGCAAACCCCCCCTGTTCTCTCCATCCTACTGCTCACAGGAGCGTGGTGGACGCCTGTGTGTCGTCCATGGCACGGCTACCACACGCGTCGCCCATCCCGCATGCCGCCAAGCTGTATAAAACCCTCCCCACCCCGTACACAAACCCTAGCTCCATTCCCCTCGCTCTCTCACTCACCATCTTCGATTTGGACGCGCCCGAGTACCCAACCGCCATGGTCGTCGTCTTAGCCACGACCATCGCGGTCCCCACCGGCTTGGAGCTTGTGCGGCAGCTCCATCGCGGTCGTCTGCATCTTCTACTCTACCGAATCAAGGCCGGGAAGTATCACCCGCGACGCTCGCGCCTTCTTCCTCCGCCATGGCTGTCTAACACCGTCGTTCGATCTGCATCATCCTGGCAACCTCGGGCCTCCCCGAGCTCTCCATCGGACTCGCAGTGAGCTCCTCTTTCGATTCCCCCCTTTTCCCCTTCCTCCCGTTGTTGTTTGCCTCCGTGCACCGCCGCCACCTCGGCTTGTGCGAGTTCGCGCTCACCGCGGCCGCGCTCACCTCCACGTGTGCGCCCGCGAGCCCCTGGTAGCGCCTCGTCTAGGCGTGATGCGCTTCCATGCGCGCCTGAGCCGCGCCCCTGCACCGCGCGCATCTACCGCCGTTCGATGCCGCGATGCTGCGTCGGCGCCTGCCTGATGCTCGCTGACCTCTGCTGCCCTCTGCTCCGCTGTAGCTGCTGCCTGACTGTTGTGCTGCTATAGCCGCTACCGACGCCACTGCCCTGCTCCGCAACGCGCGTCCGCATGCTCCGGCCACGCCCGAGACCCGTCCTACTCGCTGCTATGCCTGACTGCCGTGGTCTCCCTTGTTCGTCCGCGCGCGTGCCCGCGCCCCTAGCTGCCCGCGCGCGCTTGCGGCCGCTCCTGCCGCTGCGTTTCGCTGCTCTGCTGCCACTGCTATAGTAACTGAATGTTACTGTAGTGCTGGCTAGCTTTTGCTATTTCTACCTTCTTAGCTCTCTGGATGGCAACAAAACTATGGTCAAACAAAGTCTAACTTCGTTGAAATTAATTTGTGTTGGGAGTACACATGACAACCTCCAAATTATTCCATTGGACCAAATTCAAATATGGCATGGATTAATTCCTATAAAAATGACAAAAGTCTATGTTCTGTTAGGAGAGAAAACCGAAAAAGAGGTTTACTGTCTTAACTACTTCAGAGCTGTAAATGGACCTGTTACAGGAGCTGTTCAGGCTATCTAATGGCATGGCCTTGTAGTGCTGTTGATGTAGAGTAAAACACTAATATGTGGTGTCTTCATTAGAACTACATAACATTAGCTATAGCCTTCGGAAAACAACCAAGTGAAGTTTTAAAAAAAACTGAACAATTCTCAGACTTAGCCAATTTTCAGGAATTCCATAATATTGTTTAAATTTCGAAAAATCATAGAAAATAAACCGTAGCTCGGATGAAAAAACTTTGTACATGAAAGTTGCTCAGAACGACGAGACGAACTCGAATACGCAGTCCGTTCGTCCGTCACACGTACCTAGCATAGCATACACGCAACTTTCCCCCTCTGGTTCATCTGTCCGAAAACGCGAAACACCGGGAATACTTCCCGGATGTTTCCCCCCTTCGCCGGTATCACCTATCCCTACGTTAGGTCACCCCTAGCACAATGTATTGCCGCGTCTTGCTTTGTGTTACATTTGATTGCTCTGTTATTTATTGTGTTCCCCCTTCATTACTTTTTTCGGTAGACTCCGAGACTGCTGTCGATGTCCGTGTGTTCGACTACATTGAAGATGACCCCTCCTTCTTGCCAGAGCAACCAGGCAAGCCCCCCCCTTGATCACCAGATATCTCCTATTCTTCTCTCTACTGCTTGCATTAGAGTAGTGTAGCGTGTTACTACTTTCCGTTAATCCTATCCTGATGCATAGCATGTCATTGTTGCTACAGTTATTGATACCTTACCTGCAATCCTAAATGCTTAGTATAGGATGCTAGTTTATCATCAGTGGCCCTACATTCTTGTCTGTCTTCCATGCTATACTATCAGACCGTGATCACTCGGGAGGTGATCACGGGTATATACTTACACATAATATATGATACTTGTGGTGACTAAAGATGGGTCGGCTCGAAGAGTACCCGTGAGTGATTCACGGATTGGGTCCAAAAGGACGTTTGTCCCGATGACCCTCTGAATGGATCTTTGTGGCAGAGCGACATGGTAGGTTGAGACCACCTAGGAGAGAGGTGGGCCTGGCCCTTGTCGGTGTCCGCGGTTATTTCAAAATAACACACTTAACGAGATCTTGATATTTGATCTGAGTTTGGCCGTTGGCCTATACACACTAACCAACTATGCGGGAACAGTTATGGGCACTCGACGTCGTGGTATCAGCCAAAGCCTTCGTGACGTCAGCGACTGAGCGGCGCGCGCCGGATTGGACCGTAAGCCTGCTCTTGTATTAAGGGGGCTAGGTCTGCTTCCGGCCGCCCTCGCCACATGCAGGTGTGCAATGGGCGATGGGCCCAGACCCCTGCGCCATAGGATTTAGACCGGCGTGCTGACCTCTCTGTTGTGCCTAGGTGGGGCTGCGACGTGTTGATCTTCCGAGTCCGTGCATGACCCAAGAAAGTGTGCCCGGCCAAAGGGGATCGAGCATGTTGGGACATGTGGTGCACCCCTACAGGGAAGTTTATCTATTCGAATAGCCGTGTCCCTCGGTAAAAGGACGACCCGGAGTTGTACCTTGACCTTATGACAACTAGAACCGGATACTTAATAAAACACACCCTTCCAAGTGCCAGATACATCCCGGTTATCACTCTCTAACAGGGCGACGAGGGGAGGATCGTCGGGTAGGAATATGTTATGCGATGATACATGGTGAACTTACCATCTACTCTCTTCTACTGTTTCAAGATGGAGGCTGCCAGAAGCGCAGTCTTTGATAGGACTAGCTATCCCCCTCTTATTCTGGCATTCTACAGTTCAGTCCACATATGCTACCCTTCTCCATTTGATACCAATGCATACATATCTAGTGTAGCTCCTTGCTTGCGAGTACTTTGGATGAGTACTCACGGTTGCTTTGCTCCCCCTTTTCCCCTTTCTATACCCGATTGTTGCGACCAGACGATGGAATCCAGGAGCCAGATACCACCGTCGATGACCACTTCTACTACATTGGAGGTGCCTACTACTACGTGTAGGCTGCTGACGACGACCAGGAGTAGTTTAGGAGGATCCCTGGCAGGAGGCCTACACCTCTTTCGATATGTATCCCAGTTTATGCTAGCCTTCTTAAGGCAAACTTGTTTAACTTATGTCTGTACTCAGATATTGTTGCTTCCACTAACTCGTCTATCATCGAGCTCTTGTATTCGAGCCCTCGAGGCCCCTGACTTGTAATATGATGCTTGTATGACTTATTTTATTTTTAGAGTTGTGTTGTGATATCTTCCCGTGAGTCCCTGATCTTGATCGTACATGTTTGCGTGTATGATTAGTGTATGATTGAATCGGGGGCGTCACAAGTTGGTATCAGAGCCGACTGCCTGTAGGAATCCCCCTTCCAAACTCCTTGGCTGAAGTCGAGTCTAGACATTGCAAAACTTTTACTAACATGGTTGTGCGGCTCGAGCCCATGTCGCCATTGGGTGGTATTAGGATCTTTTATTCCTCTCCTATACTTTGGGACTCTGATCTCTCTTCTATTCGGGTTAAATGATTTTACTAACTCTGACTCTAGGTTCTCGTAACTACTTCCTCTCAGAGAGCCCCTCACTCCAGATGATTACTTGGCGCACCAGAAGATTCCGAAGATACTCTCCGATGTCTCTCGAGACTTTGTGCCCACCGCTTTTGCTATCCCAACCACCGATAAATCCTTATGGATAACTACTTACACTTGCCGTTTATACCTTCGTTCCTAGATTCCCTTGTTATTACTTCATACCCTGAAAATTTCTCCGATATTCCGAGAATCCTTTGTGCCTACTGCTTTTGCAGCTCTTTTCCATATTAACATCCACACGAACAATTCCACGCACTTACCGGGGATCCGTCCATCCCCAGTTGTCCAAGTGCTTCACAAAATTCTTCGAAATACTACTCAATCTTTTGAGAATCCTCTGCAGCCTATGGCTCTTGAAATTATTGCCTTCCTGCATTATGGTTAATTCCATATGACTTGTAATCTTCGTTGACATCATTTGTCATTGAAATTCCGACCCCATTAATTCATCATGTGTGCGAACACACTCAATCAATAGTTGATACCTAGAATTTGTTCTTCCGACCTCAGACGTCACGCCGGACATGAGTTGGTTCTCGGCAAATCAAACCTTGATTGATTGTCGACCTATGACTATTCAACTTAATTATCTTTTGATCAGAACCTCTGCTTCTGATTCCCCGATTTGGAAATAATAATTCCTTTGTATCTAAGCATTGAAGTTATCTAGATATTTCTATAATCTAATGCCCTTGCATTACTTCTTGTGGTTGAACATTGATACTCACGTCAGATCCCTTCTGGACCACCAGATCCTTTGTTGGATTATTATCCGATAGTGCCCTCATATTTAATCACCTTGTGAGCTCTTCCCTGATACATAATGCTTTTGGTAAATTGTATCCTCTCCTTTTGTCAACCATGTTCTACTTTCGAGCTTGTGTTATTTACTATTTAAGTTTGTGGTATATGTTCCTATGATGCCCCTATGGGTTGAACCTATGCCTTCCCTAATCCGTGTGAACCCGAGAGTTTTCACGAGTCATACTATTCTGGTGTTTTGTCAGATATAATTTCAACACCACAACTTCATTGAAAGCAAGAAGTGAATGGAAGGTTATGCATTGAAGAAGTGGGAGTCGACCTTGAACTTTGCGTTCATGCCCATGGACACGATGTAGATCTTATCATGGAAGCTTCTCTTAAATAACTAATTGTCCCCTTGTTATTAGTTCATCTGGTATCTATGTTTGGTCATTTGCAACCATGGTTCCAACCATGATTGTTATCCTTTGATTCCATTTCTCGGACAAGTTAAAGTACTTGTCTTCTGCAGATCATTTCACTTGTCCGACCTCTACTCTGTTCTACCTTCGAGTTTTACCCTCTGGTATCTCGAGAATATCACAGAACTACATCTCCCCTTATGAGTTCTTCATCACTTGTTATTTCTCACCGATTCCAATTTTCCCCCAAGTTCTGAGTTTTTATTCACTCGAGAACACCGATAAGTGAATCAATTCCACACTCCGATTCCATAACTCTAAGTAATTTTTGTTGCATACGAGTTTAATAATCCCTCTAGTCATTCCTAGGCTGATCAGCTATATCATTATCGTGCTGATTTTAACTGTGCTACCTGGTCCTTATTCTCAGAGCACAATTTTCGACGATGAGCTAAGCTTACGTTG